TTTCTTTTCTTTTTTTTCTTTTTTTTTTTTTTTTAGGATTTTTAGTTTTTATTAAAATACAGGTCAGATCAGTGTGTTTTGGTTCCAGTTCCTTCACTGCCAAACCAGGGGGCAGGGACTGCTTCAGTTTCTCTGCCTCTCCTTGTCAGTGATGACCAGGGTGTAACTGTATCTCCTGCATCGAACTTTAAACTTCACATTGTCCTTATTTTTCTTGATCTTGACAGATTTGGCATCTTTTCGTCGGGCTGTGGGCAGAAAGTCCTTGATTTTCTCAATTTTCCGAGGCATGGTGACGGGACGCGTTGGGAGCGGGCGCGCACCGGGACCTTCTCACCCACGTTTCACCCTACAGACGCTCACAGTGAGCAACAACCGGGGACGAGGACGAAAAAGCTGAACTTCACAATTTCAAAGAAAGCTAGAATATTTGTATTCTGCAATAGAAATAATTCAAAATATAAACATTCAACCTTACCAGAAAAAGTTAAAGATATTAGAAAAGTTTAGCCGGCAGATGCCAGACAATGTACATGACTTATACATGAAGAAATGTCTTTGAGCACATATTATCTACATTTTATTATTATGTAAAATTAAATATAAGTATATACTACTTAAATACATATATAATTAAAGATAATTATAAATATACTTAAGCATAATTTTTAAAATACTCATTGGATATATGCACTCTGAGTGACAGAACCATCATCAAGGTTTTTATAGAAAAAAATTTCCATTTAAGATTATTAGACACCTTGTTACCAGTTTGCCCTTGTGCTGCTGCAGATCTTGATTTGAGACCTGCTGTAGCTGCCTTTTTTCTTTTTCTTAAATAAGAATATGTTGGTCCTGGAAAGGACATCAGAGATTGCCTATTTCAATATCTGAATTTAATGGTGAGTAAACTATTGTGAAAAGACATCAAAACTCACAGCACTAATTTTTGGGAAGAATTGAACCCAGATTTACTTACTCCCGATATACAGTCACCCTCATCTAGTAAACAAATTATTACAACCTGTTTTGTAGTGAATTGTTCACTTTAAGCAGCAACTCTTTTGGTGAGACAATTCTTCTGAAGATAGAAATGCAATTGTTTGTTCTAATAAAATGAGGTTGCTGAAGGTCTTGCCCAAATTATTCTATTGGCAATCTTACTAATTAGCACAATCTTGGTTCTGAAGTCCAGAATCCTGAACTCAAAAGTCCATTGGTTATCCCTTATCAGTTCTCAGGGCTAATAAGTTAACTCAGAAAATACTGTGTTTTCACTACATTTGCCAGCATGCTGGGCGCTGGCAGCATCATGGGTGAATAGTGAGTCAGACACACCCACTCTGCCCTAAAAGCGTACACGGCTGAAATGCACACCAGAGTGACGACTTGGTGATTAGTCAACATAGGGACAATGAGAACATTTTCTCACCTTACTAAATCCGCAAGAGAAGCTAAGGATAACCTGGCATTGCCAGTTTGCCCTAGGGACCCCTAGGCTTTTTCTATGCTTCTATAACTGATCAACCTCCTTGTTAGTAAAATAGTCTATCTTTAGGAACGTTCATACATTTAATTCAGCCTTAGTCAGACCCCGAAAGCCTAGGAGTCATTCCGTTCCTATGAGGCAGCTTGACTTCTGTTCTGCTGTACTTTGGTCTTTCAGTTTAAACCACAAAGCCAGTCTTAAGTCTCTCATTTTCAGGTTCTTGGGGGCATCCTTTTGTAGCCTCCTGAATTCGCAACTTTCAGAGAGAGTTTTAACTCTTTTTCTATTTCTCTTTAAGAAAGAGCTTCTGAAACACACATTTTAACACATTCCTTTTAACATTACTCTATGTACTCAGTTGTATAACGATGATGGTGTTTCAACACTCAATTCTGTCAAGAGCTATTAGTGATGATTAGTACAGTATATATTGCTCCTGTTTTTAGTCTGTAAAAATAGGTAGAATTTAGGCAGTAATTTTACAGTAATGAAATGAGAAATGAATAGTCTTGAATCTTTTATGATTACCATTGTAGCTTTATTGAGACTCAGGATTTACATATGCTTTGGGCAAAAGAGCCAATTAAGTAATAGAGAAAGAAAATGGAATTACTTTTCATTCTGGATAACCAAATAGATGCCTTTTAATTTTATTTTTAAAGGAATTTCTTTTAAATCAAACTTTAAAATCTACACTTTTTTTCAGGAAGAGTCTTGAGTCATCTGGTTTAGCTTCCTGTCTGTAAATATGTCTATGCTCACAAAACTATCTTTGAAGATTTAGAGATGAAGAACTCAGAATGTCCTTTGTATATTGTTTTTAGGTTCAATTTCGTATGTGGTCCCTAGGTCTAACCAAACTCTCTCTTGCTTTGGTTATATTCTGTACTCTTTTCAGTTTTCTTTGGAGGAGAACAGTCAATCTTCAGTTCCTGTAATAGCGCTGATTGCACTGAGAAAAATTTGAGAGTTGTTCTCTAGTCCTCTCTTTTTGTTAGTAAATAGCCTTGGTTTCCTCCTCTTTCCAGATAAGTAACACTTTTCTATCCCCATAATCATTTTCACTGCTCTGGGCCCCCTTAGATTACAGAAATTGACAATGGAGACAATTCATGAGAAGAGATGGCGCTCTAGGGTACCTAGAAGGCTGACTTCTGAGCACTGAGCACCTAGTTCCATAAACATATCACAGTACCACCAGACTTTTACAATAACACCATTAGCAGCTGGGATGATTTCTGCTCCAGCCTCTTCCTGTTGCATCTGGGCCTCTCTAGCCTGCTTTGTCTTGTTCTGAAGACAACAAAAGCCATGAAGTTGGAAAAGCCAATTTTATGTAAGCCAATTTTTTGTCAGTGTATATAAAAAAAAAGCCAAAAGAAGAAACTCAATAGCTCATCTAATTTCTGGAAACGGAAGCCTGGAGAAAAGAAGTTTCCCCTATTTGCAGGGCTACCGTGGTGACGAGATGGATACATGAACTCATCTCTTCTGATTGGCAAGCCAGTGTTTGTTTTTCATCATCATACAATGTATTTCAGACCTTACTTATGTGTCATTTGCCTTAGGAATTATTATTTGATATCAATTCCAATCTCAGTCCTCTTAGATAATTACTCAATATCCAATAGCTTAGAATGGACCAGATTTAAGAAATTTGGGGATATTCTTAATGTTCACTTATGTAGCGAACAATCCTTACGCTTTGGTACAATTTGGTTTTGGGTGTGGCAGAAGAGGGTAGTGTAAGGTCTATTGACAAGTTAAATGAGGAAATGAGGCCTGAATAAGAAAAGTAAAAGCCAATTTATTCAGCTACCCAGCGAGGTTCTCTGGTCCGGGAAAGGGGCCAGAGAAGTCGCGTCCGGCTGTTTAGGGCGTGGGGTTTTATGGGGAGGGGAGGCAATTGATTGGCTTTTGGGAAACAAAGTGAAGGCAGCTTTATTGGCTGTTGGGAAACAGGATGTGCATGGAGCGAGCTGTCATTGGTAGGCAGGTGGGACTCTGGGTAAGTAGGCCTTGATTGGCTGTTGGGGAAACAAAGCGAAGGCAGCTTTATTGGCTGTTGGGAAACAGGATGTGCATGGAGTGAGCTGTCATTGGTAGGTGGGCGGGACTCTGGGTAAGTGGGCCTTGATTGGCTGTTGGGGAAACAAAGCGAAGACAGCTTTATTGGCTCTTGGGAAACAGGATGTGCATGGAGTGAGCTGTCATTGGTAGGCAGGCGAGACTCTGGGTAAGTGGGCCAGCCGGGTGCTATTGGGCAGGGTTTGGTGGGGTTTCTTTAACATTTTTTGGTGGGGTTTTTCAAGGGGTGTGCTGGGGTTGAGTGCATAGTTTGGTGCTGAGTGTGGGCTTGGGTATGGTATGCAGAGGCGAGTGTGGGGAAGCCATGTGGCGAGGCCAGATAATGAACTTGAGGTGATGACGTAGTTATCAGGCAAGGAGAGGGGTGGGTGTGTCCATTCAGCTCCCAGTGAGGCAACCTGCCTTACAGGTAGAAAAAAATCAAGGCTTATTGAAAGGTGTACTCTCATAGGAATGGAAGTATTAGGTGATTTGAAACACTGAAGTTTCAAATGAAGACCTCGTCATCTCTTCATTACTGAATTCCAGAAATCATCACAAAACTCTTTCAACTGAAACGTATCTCAGCAATGTTAGGTCCACGAACTGAGAATCACTGTGCATGAGAGGACACTGCATCATGATTAGATAGTTGTTCTAAACTAGTGCTTCTCAGCCTTGGCTGCACATAGAAGCTTTAGAAATCATTGCACTCTAACCACACCTCAGACCAATTAACCCAGAATCTCTAGAGGTGAGGTCCAGGCATCGGTATTTTACAAAGCTTCCATGCACTCAAAGTTGAGAACTGCTCATTGTCGTAAAGGGCAAAGTACTTTTGGCAGTTTTAATATCTCCTTTATAGTTTACCTTTCCCCCATTTTTGACTTAGGCAACACTATCCTCATTGATTACAAAAGGGTAACTTTTTTCAGAACCATAATTTATGATAGTTTATATCATAATGTAAATATATAATATATATATATATATATAAAATTGTCTTTCACTAATTAATTTAACATTTACTTATTGTACCTACATTGAGCCAGAAAACTTTTTCATTGCCAAGCATTGTACTGGTAAATAAAACTTACAGAAAGTGCTCGAAATGAAGTGATAGAGAAATAGCAGGGATGATGGGACTAGTTGGAAAATATTTCTATATGAAAAGCCTCTTTGAGGAAGTCACAGTTAAAAACAGATTAGGAGGAAGAGAAGAGAACATTATTAGGTTAATTTACTAGTTCCAGAGAGGCCACTAAATGCTAGAAAATGCAGCTAAAAAGATATACAAGATGTGGTTTCTGTCTTCTAGAAACGCACAGCTTCGTAGAGAAGGTAAATAAGTACACTAATAATTAAACACAACAAGACAGATATTAATACAGGAATGTACCAACTGCCATGGGACCACAGGGTCAGACAAAGTTTCAGAAGGTAATCTTGGAAAAACATAGAGAGCTTCATGAATATGCACAGGCTCTATACACAGGGCTGTGTAAATCTTCCAATTTTAGCACATGTGCTATAACGCCTGCTTTTTCTGTGTTGTTACGTTTGATCCCGGGATGGAAAGCGATGATAATTTTCTCTCGTTTACTCCTCTTCATAATATCCCATATGCATATAGATACACATAGGCCTATGTCTCTAACAAGTAAAAAATAATTATAATGCATCTCTAGGTTTATACTTGAGAGGGGAGAAAAGGACTTATTTTTATGACTAGCAAAAGCCCAACATGTTTTAAGTTGATGGCTGAGGAGTCTATGTTTGTCAATGTAACCTTGTCCAGTTTAGCAAAAGTTTATATGAATTCAGTCATCTGAAAGTTTTATT